CCTCAGCAGCAGGCGCCTCTGCTGACTCTAAAAAGGCTGCGGCCGTTTCACCTTCTCCCTCTGATCGGGAAGCAAGTGGCTGGAGAGGCACGTGCTAGGCAGGCTAGGAAAGATGCTGGGCCAAGATGGTGTCAGTGAACAATTAGTATTCCTAACTTAGTGTGGAAATTAGTGTTCATGGTGCCTTTCCTCAACCAACATTCTGTGGTGTGAGTTAAAATTTACATACCAGGCTACACTTAATCCCAGCTCTACCACTTACTGCTCTGTGACCTCAGCTTGTTAGTAACCCTCTCTGGGACTCAGTTTTCCCAGCCTGTAAAATGGGTGAAATGAGAATAAACCTCACTGTCCTTGTGTGTGTGTTGGAGTTGGGGACTGTTTGTAAAGGCCGTCCCTGGGGTTACTTATGTGCATCTCCTCACCCACATCACTTTCCTGGAATAGACTGTAATACTCTGCTGTGCTTCATCAGTTAGGAATGTAAGGAGATACTTTTGTAAAAGATGATTCTAGTGTCTGTAACATCATATACACAGGAAAACATGGGACGATTGCCTTCAGAACTGCATCCTTACTTAGAGATCTCTCTGTAGCCCTGGTTGGGGTCTCTGATTCCTCCACCTGGCCAAGTTTGAGAATCCCTGTCAAAGGGAGGGAGTGAGGGGACCACCAGAGGCAGGGGGCGGGTCACCCTGATTCCTTTACAGGATCACTAGCAGGAAGCTGCACAGGCAGCAGACCCGCGTGGCGAGTCTGCTGACAAAAATAGCCCAGAGCCTCACACTTGGCGGAAGCACCATTTTTCATCCAGGCTTCTGAGAGGCCTTCGGCGTGTTCTGTGCACAGCACAGGAGATTGTAAACACCAGACAGAGGCTGTGCTTTATTCTCATGTGCACAATGGAAAACACCTGGCTTTTCTTTTAACTGCTCTGCCTTCTGATGCAATCTGGGGTGTGCAACTGGGGCATGCCAGGCTGTCCACGGGGCTCGGAGCGGGGGGGGGGGGGTGAGGTTGCGAGGACCTCTCCCCCAAGCCCCAGAAGGTGACTGGGCTCCTTGTACACAGGCGCCTCCATCCAGAAGGGTCACGTCTTAGAATGCATCACGTGGGTGCCTTGTAAGGGATAACTATGCAGCTGCATTTTTAGGTGTAGCCAAGTCACATTCCTTTTTCACACAGCGGAATGTAACATAACATTTCCTTTTCTTCTTTTTTTTAAATGTATGTTATTTTCAGCAGTGCAATTGCAATGGTTTGTTCCCAGGGGATGATTCAATAAGAAGGGGCCAGAAAAGGGAGTTCTGGGTAATCTCTAAAAAATTGGTGTTTGCAAGATACACCCCACATGGAACCTACTTTTAGTGTATCTGCTTATAAACGCTGATCAAATCGCATGTGTTAAAGCTGCGTTTGCAGGGAGCTGGTGGAATCTGTGCTTGTATTTCTTAAAAAAGGTAAAAACCTGAGTAACATCTCTGCTTCCTGCTGTGTCATGGTGCTGACTTCCAAAATCAAGTATCAAAATGTCAGTTAATTATGAAAATCATCCTGTTAACTATGAAAAATACTGTCTCGTCTATCAGATGTTTCTGTCCCTTTCTCCATCTCCCTCTGTTTTTTTTTCCCCTGGGGTTTTTGAGAAGGAAACGCCCTCCTCCCCCTTCAGTGGGAATGGGGGAGGAGGGAGAAATGAATAACAAGCAAGTAAAAAGTGGCAAGATAATGACAAGAGGCGATAACTGCTGCAAATAAAATGAAGTGTGTGTGTGGCAGGCAGAGTATGTCTGCTTTGGGATCTGGGAAGCCACTTGGCAGGGGCTGGGTGCCCCACTGGAGCTGCCCTGAGAAGAAGGTCTGAACATTCTAGCTGGGGCCTCCACCCGGGACCTCAGGCATGTGGATCCCCAGCTCTTTCTTCTGAGAGGAGTGGGTGCTAAAAATAGACCAACCCTCCTCTGGATCTCCATGGCCCAGGTGTTTCCGCTTGTGTGGCCACGACTCACTGCGGAGATAGAGATTTATGGCCCCCTGGTTCCGACAAGTTAGAGCTTCCCAGTCAGCGGTGGACCCTCTTTGTGTTGCTTATTTTATGAGCAGATAAACTCTCAGACCGTCCAAAAATGAAGCAGGAGAGACGTTCTGAATTCTGCCTCATCAACTTATGATTTGAAAATATTTTCTTCTAAAATCATATTCTCCAAAGTGCTCATGACTATTAAAAAAATTATTGTGGTAAAATACACATAGCATAAAACTTATCTTAACCTTTTTAAGGGAAGTTTAGTGGCACTAAGTACATTGCTGTGTGACCATCACCACTGTTCACGCACCCACAGAACGTTTTCATCACCCTGAGCTAAAATTCCGTAGCTATTAACATATAACGGCCTTTCTCCCCTCCCCCAGCCCCTGGCACCCACCATCCTTTCTGTCTATGTGAATGTGACAACTCCAGGAGCCTTGTGTAAGTGGGATCATACAATGTCCTTTCCTGACTGGCTAATTACACTCAGCATAGTGTCCTCAAGGTTCATCCATGTTGTAGCCTGTGTCAGAATGTCTTTTATTTATTTATTTAACTTATTTATTTTAACTTTAACAAAATTTATTGGTTTTCCATGAGGGCCTCTGGCCGGGCTTTGGACCAGCTTCATGCGCCCGTGTGGCCTTGTTTCCTGGCTGCAGCTGCGGCTGGTAAGGCCCCTTTTTGCTTCTTCAGCTTTTGGACCTATTGTAAAGCCGCAGTGTAGCCTTTTTGGTCACCCCAAGGTGGTGGATTTTCAGTGGCACAGAGAGTGGACTCAGCCCCCGGGTCCTAACGCGTCTTCCCAGACATTATAGTTGGTGTTAGACGTTCCCGGGCATCCTTTCCCTCTGGTGGATGCTCACGGGCGGGCGGGTGGCGCTGGTGGCTTTGTCCTGTGCACGTGTCCGCAGCGCCCTGCATACTAGCCGGACCTGGTATCCTCGGGGTTGGCCACGACCTTGTCCGCTAACTGCTCTGGCTTGATTTGCAGGTTCTCCTCCTGGCTGGCCTTTCTGAAGCATCTTCTCTCCGCATCACCTCCCTCCTCAATTCCGGAAGTTCCGGTGATCTCTGATCAGCGTGGGGGGCGCGGCCCCTTTTCCGGGCAGGGCGGGTGTCGGGGTGACCCGTCTGCGGGGACCGAAGGCTGAGGCCGCGAGGAGCTGAGGGAGCCCAGCGCGCCCTCCCTCGCCCGCTGCCCAAGGACTGGGGTCGTTGCCTGGCAGTCGAGCTCTGCGCCTTCAGCATGGTGACTTTTGACTCCAGCGGGCGCCCCGACGTCGCCTACGCCTACCAGACTGGGTTACATGGGCGCCGCCATGCTGGCTCAAGCTTGACCAATCGAGTGCCGGAACGGCCTTTTCTAAGGCTGGCTGATGATCGTCCACTCAGGTGTGTCTTGTCGATTCCTCTGTTGATGGACGCTTTAGTTGCTTCCACCTTTTGACTATTGTGGATAATACTGCTCTGAACGTGGGTGTGCAAGTATCGCTTAGCGTTACTGTTTTTTATCCTTTGGGTCTATACCCAGAAGTGGAATTGCTGGAACATACGTTAATTCTGTTTAATCTTTGAGGATCCACCTGACTGTTCCCAGGGGCTGCAGCATTTTACATGCCCACCAGCAATACACAGTGTTCCAGGTTCTCCATGTCCTCGCCAGTGTTTGTTTTACGTTATTCATTTATTTTTGGATGATGGCCTTCTTAATGGGTAGGAAGTGGTATCTCGTTGTGGTTTTGATTAGTGACGTTACGCATGCCGTGACTACTGATATAATGAGACTTTAACATGAGTGATTACAATGAACAGAGCTTTCGGAGGTTATACTCAGCTTTGGAGTGCAGATGGAGGCTATGGGGAACCATGGTGTTTGGGATGGAGAAGGGGTCCCTGGGGCAGGACGAGAGGCAGCTGAGTTTTGTGCGGAGGGATAACAGGTTTAAGGACTAATCTACAGTCATCGCCCCCAACACACATGTGCAGGAACGCATGCTCAGTCACACCCCACGCATCACAACTGTGGGGCAGAGAGGACAAAAGGAAGGTGCACAGGGACAGTGACCACTGAACCGAACACATGAGGCCCATACCCAGGACCCCACTGGTGGTTCTGAGGGTGTTTAGGGTGGGACTTCTGCCGCAGCAATCAGCCATGAGAAGGACTTTGTAATCTGGTTCCAATACAGAGGGTGGGACAGGCAGCCACAAGCGCCCTCAGTGGGGAGCACAGCCTGTTCCCCCCTAGCCCCCGCCATCCCTAAGCTGAGCAGAACAGGCCACTCACAACTGCTGGCAATGTGCACAGAGAGGGCTCTGAACAGGAAGTGGTATATAATTGCCTAGGACTTGTATCATTTTTTTCCCCCTCTTTCTTTCTCTGTCTAGAGGGACAGAAACAATGACTCATAAGACAAATGCCTAAAAATACACTTAAAAAGCCTGGCCTCTTGGCAGGAAGGGTCTGATGGGTGTTGATGGCCTGGTGCAGGGAGCCTTAGTGTATGTAACCCTGTGTCACAGCGTCAGCTTGCATGTCACCCAGCTGTTTCCTGCGTGGTGCCTGAAAGGACTCGCCAAGAGGAAGTGCCCCCAGAGTACTCAGAACATGTTTGTTAGGTCACATGTTAACAATTTTACACAACAGTGACAATAGGACACGCTCTATTCGCAAAGTGAAGTTTATTGCTTGCTATGATTTTGACAGGCAAGACCCTACATAGGGACGGTAATTCCTACAAGGTGATCTTTACGAAATGCCTGTTTAGAATTGAACATCGCGGTGAACTTCACACATGTGTTCTTGGGGTGAAGTGGGGCCCTGCCCTCCCATGCTGTGGGAATTGGGAGACAGATGGTGGGAGGCTGTGTGCTCGCCCCTCCACCAGCTCTCCCCTCCCCAGGGGTTCACTGTATTCACACACATTTACACATAGGGGAAGCTAAAGTCACCATGTTGAAGAAAACTTGTCATACCGCATTTTCTTATGAGATGAAAAAATAAATCTAAACACACTGTCCAAGTGTCACTCTTCTTTAAAGTTTTATATACATTAAAGCTCTGATTTTCTTTTTCAATATACTGTACTTAGAACTGTTAAAAAATAAACTTTCTGTTTTGGTACCTTTTGTTTCCTGTGTGAGCCTTGGAAACATATAAAATAGATCTCACTAGAACTCTTCTGTGCAAATAGTAAACATAAATAACATTAACATCTGTGTTATAAAAAATAAGGCCATTTTGAGGGTCAACAGCGGCAGTCCCGGAAGGTGCTGCTAGAAGTAGTCCGTGGCCTGCTTGCTGAGGCCATGCAGGTCCTGGTCCAGCTGTGAGGGGCGGGGCAAGAACTCGCTGTCCTGCTTGCCCACCTGTAAACTACTTCGGGAGAAGTGTAGGACACTTCCCAGTCCACTGACCAGCGACAGGGGGGAAACCCAGCTGAGCGAGCCGAAGTTGGGCAGGGTGAAGATGGACGAGAGGCGGGCTGGCCTGCTGGGCTTCGTCCTGGAGTCCCCAGGATACCTTTCCAGAACAGCGGAGGACCCCGGGGCCTGAGTGCCCAGGCCCTCCCTCAAAGGCATGCTCACGTCCACCACACTGGGCTCCCCGCTGGCCTCTGGGGAGCAGGCTGGCTGTTGCCGGTGCCAAGACGCCTGCAACGTGCAGTTCTGGGAGCGGGGCCCAGAGGCACAGACGCTTCTGTGCTCTGATGGCTCAGTTTTTGGTTCTCCCGGGAGGGGTCCCTGAGTGTCTTTGGGAGCGCTGAGTTTCTTGGGAGACCTCCTGGCCAACTGGCGTCCCCGCTGAAGCTGGGTGGGGAAAAGGCTCCCCTGCAGAGCTCTAAAAAGCAATCTGGAAAGAGCACAAAAAACAGTCAGCTCCCACTGCAGGTGGCACCTCGGAGCTTTCTGAGACTCGCACGGGGCAAACACACTGCCCTTAAGACGTGGGGGCACCGACCCTGATACCCACCTGGGCAGCAGCGCGGCGATGGGTGCTAGGAGACAAGTCAAGTAAAACACAGGGTCGCCCAGTAATGTGTGCATCGTCCAATAAGCATTGGACGGAGGATAACACGTCGCACAGGAAGCATTGTAAATCAAAGCCACAGTGAAAAATAAAAGGACACTGAAGCCACAGGCCATCCAGTTGAGCCAGGTCTGAGAGGGAAAGAGAAAGAAAGGCTATTATTGCAGTGAAATGCACTGGTCATCTGTAAGTGCCTGTGATGTTCTAAGGGCTTAGTGAAAATGGGTCTTTGGCACGGGTGGCAGGTGGGCTTGGGGAAGCCTTGAGAAGCTGTGGACCAGCCTGGGTATCGGGTGTGAGGGAAAGGAGAGGGCGACAAGGGCAGCATGTGGTGCCGGGGCTGGGGGGGGGCCACGACCTTGTCCGCTAACTGCTCTGGCTTGATTTGCAGGTTCTCCTCCTGGCTGGCCTTTCTGAAGCATCTTCTCTCCGCATCACCTCCCTCCTCAATTCCGGAAGTTCCGGTGATCTCTGATCAGCGTGGGGGGCGCGGCCCCTTTTCCGGGCAGGGCNGGAGGGCAGGAAGGAGCCAAGTGCTGCCTGGAAGTGTGGGGCCCGCAGCCTGGGCACCCTCTGGATCACGCCCACAGCTCTTACCCAGGTCTTGGTCTCAATACCCAGGTGCAGCAGGAAGGTGAGCAGCGCAATGGTAGTGATGGGGGTCCCCCAGGTAAACACATCTGTGTCGGAGTCGTAGTAGGCCTGAAAGACAGCAGTGTCCTGTGTCTGTGGGTCGCTAGATGCAGTGGGCAGGAACAACTGTGCCAGGTGCCAACTCACCAGGTAAGGAATGAAAAAGCAAATCAGGCTCTGGAAGGCAGCATCGGCCATGTTCACCCAGAAGGTACGGGGCCTGTATTCCTGAGACACAAGCATGCGGTTAGAGGGAGCTGCTCGCTCCCAAATTCCCAACAAGCCACGGGGCCATTAGCGCACAAGTCAGGCACCTCAGGGGGACGTGCTGACTCAGGACTCTGGTAGCGGGAGGTCCCGGTGGGTGGTGACAAGACACTACACACACACCTGCAGACATGGTGCCAACAAGACTGGCTATGGTGGGTCTAGGTCAGCATAAGACACGTTCCCAGCTTAGGCAGAGCGCCTGACATTCAGGGCGTCCCCCCGCCTCCTACCATCTGAGTTCTGCTCCTGCTTTGTTAGGGTTTTCCCTGCTTTTGTTGGTGGGTTCCCTAGAATGTTTCTTAACAGTGAGACTTTTAAAATTCGGTCAGGGATGTGCCAAGGGCAACGATGACCTTGATATGACTCACGGAGTCATCATTATCTGGGTGACCACACCTGTACTACACCGTGTGAGTCCCTGAGCAGCTGGCCCTGCACTGGCCACACGGAAGCCTGAGCGGACAGAAGGAGCATTGACTGAGAACTCGAAGGAGCTGGCCTGCCGGTTACGCAAGTCCACAGGACAAACTGCCCGCGTCTTGTTCCCAGGAGGAGAGGAGGTAGGGTACAGGCGACAGGGACATCTGCCTGCCCTCAGTGGTCCCCACCCTGTGCTGCCTGCTTCAGTGGGAACCAAACGAATGTCAACAGAGGTGACCAGGGGACGTCAACTCTTAAGCCAACAAATTCTGACCAGAGACGGAGATACAGGCTCCATTCCCTTGGCACACAGATGACCCCAGAAGCGCCCAGAAGGCTTACTTGAATGGCTGACTGGGAGTAGCTGGCAATTAGTACATCAATCCATGTGGCGTGTTTACGTGTATTTACATCTGTTTGGATTCACTTGTCTTTTCAGTTTCCATGTGGTTTTACTGTCTCATTAGTTCCCATTCAAAATAAATCACTTTTTGGAGGTTGGTTTTAGAAGAATCTCTGCTCCAACAGCAGCTATCCCAGTGACCCTTAGAGAACAAGCGGGCTTTCCTGGGACTTCCACAGACTTAATGGGGGCACAGTTTCCACTGCATTATACTTGTTTTTAATCCTACTTGCTAGCTTTATTGAGTGGAATCGTTACACAACACGACACACATTTTAACGTACACACCTTGACAGGTGTGGACAGGTGCCTACAAATTACCTTACTCTACTTAGCGCACAGTCAGGTGGACAGAATTCACTGTTTTCCTCCCACAGGTCGGAGCCTAGAACTTTAAGGCTTTGTCCCAGGGTGTCCGCTTACAGGGAGGCCCAGGGACTCCCACTTTCCAGAGGTGAATGGCGGGGGGAAGAGCGGGAGGGCCCACCTCCATGTTCTGGCCGCTCCTGTACAGCTGAGGCTCTGTCAGCAGCACGTCGGCTGCCACATCCTTGTCCAGGACCCCAGTCACGAGCTGGGGAAGCGACGAGAAGAGCAGGTTAAAGAAGATCAGATACCACTGGTCAATCATGGCGGACGCAGAGAAGCCACAGTAAAACTGGAACCAGAACAGGAGGCCCACAAACATCTGAAACCAAGAAAGGAAGTGTGGGGACAAGGGACTCCCGGCCACCCTTGCAGGTTCTCATTGTCTCGATCTGAGGCTTTGGCAGTTTGTCAAGACTGAGTTTACAGGCAGTGATTTCCTCCAAAGACAGCCCACCCTGCTGCCCTCGATCGCTCCCTCCCCCTCCCCCTGGGCCCTCCTCTTGTCCCCTTGATCACGAAGGACCCCCTGGGGAGGAGGCCCACAATTCCCAGGGACGGCCCTCGGAGGGATACGGTCTTGTGCCCAAAGAGTCGCAGATCATTAATGGAAAACAAAATAAAGGTCCAGCTGGGTCTAGGATTGGTCACATTTCAAGAGGACCAGCTGGGTCACTCCTGGCTTCTTCCCCAGCACCCAGCACCCCTCCTCCTTGACCCTAAACCAAACCTACCTGTGCCACATCCCAGATCCTGCCTCCCTCGTTAGTTATATACCATTCTGATAGGAATAGTGAGCAACTATCGACTCCCACACAAGCATGGTGGCAGAGTTGCTGCCTTGGCCGAGCCCTGGTACACGCTGGGCACTGGGCCGGTGGGTGAGCCACAGGCATTATTGGTGGCCTTTAGAGCTACCCCCGCTTTGCCACACAGCAAAGTGAGGTCCAGGGGGGGCTGAGCGGCCTCCTCAAGCCCATGCTCAGTGGGAGAAGGGGTTGGATGGATGTCTTCCCACTATTAGTCACAGAACATCTGTGGCCTGAGCGCACTTATGTGGGGGCCACGGCTGTTTAGTAAAACGTTCTTACACGTACCAACTGTGCAGCTCAGCACAGATCGCATAACCCTCTCTGTTCAGAGTCCTTGTCCATGCCAGACATACCAGTGGTACTTGCTACTGTGACGCTTAATGAGCAGATGCATTTGAAGCGCTCACCCACACTTTTGGTAGGACTGTTAGCAGCACAGCCATTTCTTTTGTTTCAGGTTCACACAGGGCCGGTGTGCTGCCCCATTTAGCGAAAAGCAAACTGGGGTCCAAGATGTTAAATGGCTTGACTGTGCTCATTGTATGAGTAATAAACCCAACGTGTTCAGCCCCCGTGGGGCCTGGCCTGGAGGGTGTGGACAGTCCCAAGAGGGAACACGGTGGAAGAGCATGGTCTGGGCGGGCGTTGGCCTGGAGCTGTCCCTGTCCACCGTTATGACCTGATGCAGCCACTTCACATCCCTGAGCTCTGGACTCTTGCCCTGAAAATGGTTTGCTCTGAAAATCAGAAAAACTACTAGTCTGTTCTTATGTAACCTGTTAGGACAAAGCCTCCAGGTCCTGTTGCACTCTGCGACGCCCTGCAGCGCCCCTTCCACACTGAAATGCGACCAGCGTGCACTTTCCAAGGAGCTTCTTCCCTTTTCTCTCACCCACCGGCTCGGCCTCATGAGTCATCAGTGAGCAAACGGAGTCAAGAGAAAGAGGCAGAAAAGTACGTAGACAATTGAGATTTTTTTTTTCCTGTAGAAGCACAAAGCCTTCTTCCCAAACCACGGTTGCTATGGAAACTTTTCTTCTCTGCTCTTTATTGGGAAGGAAGGCCAACTTACTTCTAAAACTAATGAACGTCTCACTCTGAGAGGCACAGTGATTATCCTTGAGCTTCTCAAGTACATTAAGTGCTTGTTAACAGGCCCTGCATATTACACGGAACAAAAACAGGCACCTCTTCTTCCCGTCCTTGTCCCCTCCGTGGGGACAGACTCGGCTGTGCCCATTCCACGTGGCCACTGGGGCTCTTTTGCAACTGAAATGTTGAATGCCTGAGAAGTTTGCACTCGGAATTCCAGACAGCAGAACTCAATGCCTGTGTTTTGTTTTACTTTCAGATAAAGAAACAAAATCACAGGGGGCAAGTAACCTGCTCAAGATGGCACAATGAATGAGAGACAGAAACACCTTTACCCAAAGCACCCTGCCGTCCCTTGGGGAGCTGGGAGCTGTGTGCCGGACCTCAGTGCTGGGGACGCAAGGCGGGGTGGGAAGGGACAGTGACAAGGACAGAGATGGCATGGCACAGCCTCCTTCGGGCAGACTTCCAGGAAGAACCTAATCTGAGTTAGTTTCCAGGACCTGACCTATTGAATCAGATGTGACCTGATAGGTCCTGAGCATCTGTGTTCATTTGCTAGAAGACACTTCGAAAACTGGGTGAGAGTGAGGTGGCAGGAGCGGAAGGGACAAGACAGGTAGGTCTGAACCTCCAGAAGAAACAATCAGAACGTGAACAAGAAGTGTACTGATGCAGCTTAGAGTTAGCATGGAGATTTTAAAATGGAGTTGGAAAAACAAAGCAAAATAAGAAACATTTTTTTTGGTCTTTTGCAGAAGACTACAAGATGACCTTGACATTGGAGCATGGTAGCCAACATGGCGGGTCCATGGGACTACCCTGGATGGTCACTTACCCCAGAATTTGTTTTAGTCTCCTTGTCTGCACACCCGACCGCAAGCTAGCAGAGGTTGGATGACAAGGAGCAACCTGACACCTAATTCCTTAGGAGAACGTCTAGCCCTCACCTAGAAGCAGGGCGGATGGACGTGGCCATGGCACCTGTGCTGGAGGTCTTCGGAGAAACACGCCTGTCTGCCAGGGACTTAGCAATGAAGGAACCAAGTCAAATGCTAGGACAACACGCAACAGATCAGGACCCTGGATCCAAGCCCTGGAGAGGCAGGTTGAGCGTAACCTAACTGAAGGGTCAGCTATGGACTGAACTGGCCAGACAGTGGTGCCTCTGTCCGCAGCACAAGAGACCACGTGGCAAGACCCTGCTGGTGGCCCCACCCCAGCATGGGTGCATCTTGACAGAGGCCATTGGATATCAGCATTGTTGTAGGACTAAGTCCTTTCATTCTGGTGCCAGGACCACCGGTCACTCTCCTGCTTGTTACGTGGTTTCTGTCCACTCTGGAGAGAGCACGGGTCATAGGGTTGCTCTGTGGACACCACAGCTGTCCACTCCCAAGAAACACACTAACAGTGGTTAGGAGCCCAGAAGCTGGCGCCAGATGGATGGGGGTTGAGTGTGGCTTTGACTGCTTACTAGCCGTGTGACGGTGTGCAAACCACTGGACCTCAGGGTTACTTCACTTCTCATGGTAAGCCTCTAAGTGGACATTCTACCTGTTTCCAGAACCTTCTCCCTTAGAACTGCAGCCACCTTCGTGTGCTGAGTTAGGCTTCTGAGCCAACAGGATGCTCGGTGAAGCCTGAAGTTCCCAGGGGCCAAAGAGGATGGAACCGGTGAGGGTCTGGTGCTGGGGCAGTCCACGGGCCACGTGCAGGCCTCTGAATCTCAGCTTGGCCTTTGGAGCCAAACCCCCGGGGATACCGCAGCATCCAGTACCTACCGTATTTTTATAGAAGAAGTAGAGCACCATGTTGGCAAGGCGGGAGTAACACCAGTGTCCGTGGACAATCAGCAGTCTCTCCAGGTACCGGAATCGGGGCACCGCGAAGTCGCTGGCCATCACTGCCTTGGAAGGGAGAGGACGTCATTATTTGGTGACACCTCCTTCTGCCTCGAGTCTGTCTTATCCCCCCAGACACAAGGCAAAGCTCAGGGGGAGAAACCACGAACACGGCGTGTGTGACGGCCCAAAGCCTGTCTGACTACTGTTTCCCTCATCACCTCCTTCCGTTAAAGGAACATTCAGTCTCAGAAGTCTCAGGGGCAGGGGTCTCATTTTATAGGACTCATTTGAGATTCCAAATACAAGTAACTGAAGGATTTGAGTTTTTGCCTTTTCTCTCCCATGCTTTAACAAGTCAAAAATAAAATAAGACCACGCACGCAATCAGTCTTTCTCCTATTCTCCACCCTTGGATGCTTCATTCATCTAAATCACATTAGGATCTCAAGCCAACGGTGAACAAAGCTTCCCCATTTGTATGCATGACACACAGTCGGCCATCCTGGGATTGGCGTTTGGGTCCTTCTCCTCAGAGCCACGCTGGTAAGCAAGGCCAGCCCACAGCTTGGCTGGCCTCCATGGAACCTCGTCCCAGGACGGCCACTGCAGGACACCGGCCGTCACCAGGAGGGAGTGGGGATGGCAGGTGTCCCCAATGGACAGGAAAGATAGCTGGAGACAGATGTTCCCTTAACTTCTTTGAGCCTCGTGCTCACTGGGCCAGACAAATGCCATCAAAGTGATGCCTTTCGTGCCCAGAATAACTTGGAACCCACTCTATAATGAATTTCTCTATTTGGAGAAAATAAAGAAAATGTCAGGAAAAGATAGATTCTTATCTGTCTGCTTATCTTTGGAGGGTTAGTCCACACAAAAACGTAAATCGGGTTTCAAAATTTAACTGATTTACCTATTTTCAAATAACAGCTGGAAAAAGGTCACAAATGGTGTTGTCCCTTCTGTGCAATAGAATAATGTCATTCATTGTACATGACAGGGAAGTTTGAGACCTTAAAACGTCTGCTTTCTGGACCTCAAGGTAAGGATTTTAAAGCATATACTGCCTCTCTACCTCTTCCTGTCAACACTCAGGGGTTGGAGGGCTTTCTCCAACCCCACCTTCATTTATCCCGCTGTTCATCCTCTCAAAAATCATTTATTAAACCCTCCCATTGCCAGGCACAGATGTGGAGACACACACCATGAGCCAGGCTCCCTGTCCTCAACAGAGTCCGTCTAAAAACTCAAAGGGACAACTGTGGAGAGAAGTTGAGGAGGGTCCTGGGAGGCCAACCCCTGGCCTGTCCCTGAAGCAGCCCTGCCCTGGAACCCTGCAGGTAACCCCCTCCCGAGGCCCTGCCTGCCTCACCAGCTCTCCCCACTCCTACCTCCAAATCTTGGCCCAGACACACTGCTTGTCCCTCTGTTGAGGTGGTTTCCTGAGTGCTCCCAGCTGAGGTTACACTGTAGATGCTCGTGTGTCCCTTACCCAGCACTTACAGAAATTATGACTCTTCGTGGCCATTTAAAATACGTACACATCTGTCTTCCTGACTTTTCTGGACATTCCACGAGGGCCAGAATAGCAGGCGCCCTGATCACGGTGACCTCAAGAAGACCCAGCCTCTCAGAGATGCAGGCTGCCCTGTGCCCCCTGAAGGACCCCACCTGGCACAGCCTTCACACCTGGACTGCTGGGGAGCTGCACACCCTCACGCATGCTCAGTGACTCAGCTCAGACCCCTGGTGTCCCTGCCACCATGGCCTCCTACACAGCCCGGCTCCCACAGCTCAGCATGATGATGTCCCTTTGCTTACTGGACTGACCACAGTGCACACAGGGGATACCTCTTGGGCGACCTGGGCATTTAGGACAGTATGGAAAGGCGGCAGTCCTCACCACCACCTTACACAGTGCGTCCTCCATAAACAAGTGCTGCTTTAAGAAAAGGCAGACACGTCCAGCAGCATCCTACCTAGATGCCACGCCTGCACAAAGCAGAGTCTCACACGTGCCCTTGGGCTTGGATGAGCCCAGCACCTCTCACAGGGCCCTAATCTGAGGTTCCTCCAGCTCCGGCCTGAGGAGCGAGCAGTGGTGACAGCTCACTTCCCTTCCAGGCGCACCCTCAACATTAGCGCCTGTCATACAAAATGGATGGACTGGGTGCCTCTGTCTGCATGTGGGCTTGGCAGGCACTGGCCTGGTCAGCTGCTCACTCTAGGAAATGGGTGTTAACGGAGGCAATGCTAAAAGGGTCAGAAAGAATGACCTGTTTTGTTCATTCACCCAACAAATGTTTCTGGAGCTCCCCCCCACGCGCATGGTCCCCACTTTCTATTTCATGGAAGAAGAAAAACACACAAGGAAGATAACACAGTGACGTGAGTCAGGTGAGTGAGGAGTGTGCTTCTAGAGGAACCCGCGGTACTTTGAAAGCTGTCCATCTCACTGTAACTTTTTTTTTTTTTTTTTTTTTTTTTTAAGCTGAGCCATCCTGTCACCTTTTGGCAGCTCAGCGGCAACTCAGTTCGTGCCGGGAATCAAATCACTGTTGCTCAGAGCTCCAACTCTTGAGCAAGCTGAGCTCTTAACCAACTGAGCCACTCGGCCGGCCCCTGTCTCACTGTTACTTTAATGCCAGGTAAGAACGTGAATGAGCTCTACACAGACCTGGCCCATGTATGTGCTGAGTAAACAATTCTGATTGAATGCATCCATGAAGGAGTCAACTAGTGGCTAATGGTGACAACACCCCACTTTTTAAAAGCAGAAACCTGAATAGATTGTTCCCTGAAGTCTTCACCACATTAAAAAATGTGATTCAAGATTAATCAAATGTAGGAAATTGCTGTAATGACTACATCCAAAAGCCGTACATTTTAAATTAACTCATTTGTTCAGCATCTGGATCACATGTCGAGAACTGACACAGCGACAAATGAAAAGTGCAGAGATTTTCACGTGTGTCAAGATGGCTATGTTCCATTTTTATAGTGACACCTGGTTCCAACAGCGGATTCATTTTTTCAAGTGGTACCACTTGTGTTCAGGACCAGTAAAAAAATGCCTTTCCAAAGACGAGGCACAAAGAGCGAGAGAGAAGGTGATGACTTATCTTGAATCTCTGTTCTGCCTCCTTCACAAAATATGCTTCAGACACAGACATATGTATTACTGCACAGGCGGCATCACGTGCTCGCCTCCCCTCCTCTCCTGTTGGGGGCTCAGCAGGTGAGCATCAGCTGCCTCGAAGGCCGCCAACCCTTAGCTCAGGTGGCAAAGCCCATGGGAAGGTGTGACTGTGAGCCAGCTGGTCACCCTGGTGGGTTTTTTTTTTGTTTTTTGTTTTTCGTTAGCTGAGCCATCCTGCCACCTGTTGGCAGCTAAGCGGCTGCTCAGCTCGGGCCAGGGCTTGAACTGCTGTTGCTCAGAGCTCAAACTCTTGAGCGAGCTCTTAACCAACTGAGCCACTCGGCCAGCCCGCCCTGGTGGGTCTTTACCTGCATGCCCTCCTGGCCTGAGATCCCCACGCCCACGTCTGCCACCTGGATCATGCTGACATCATTGGCTCCGTCCCCTAGAAACAGCACAGCAGGAGGAAGCATTTGAGTTGGGGTGCAGGGTCATGTCGACTGGATGGATCATCACAGGGTCCCCGATAGACTGGGCCTGAGAAAGGATCATGGGGAGAGCAAGGAAAAGGCAGTGCAGAGCCCGCTCTGGGAGGACTGAGCTAAGCAGTCAGGATAGACGTGGGCTGAGATGTCTCAGAAAGCAGGCAGTGTGGTCACCTTCTTATTTAGCACCTGCTCAACATTACTGGCTCAGACACCGAAGACACGGTGTGTGGCACAATGAAAGGTGCTCCGTCACCGTCACCATTATCATTTACGGAAGGACGCCAGGCTTTTCCCATGTTCAGCCTATCAGTCAAGGCTACTCCAATTCAGACTCACGTGGGAGGTTTTCTATGCTGAACGAAGAAGGGTAAATTCTGCAAAATGGCGGAGTTCATTTCGCACGACTGCCAGCAAGCCGTGAGCCCTTGTGCTCACCTCAGGGCCCTCTGAGGGTGCGATTAAGGACAATGTCTCTTTATTCAGTCAAGCTGCTGACAGAAAATGTTTAGCCACCCAGGGCACAGGTTAGAGCTCTCAGTACCTTTGAGGAAAGGCAAGCAGAGAACCTGTCATTGTCACTCAGTGATGGTGACCATTCTTGGAACAGGGAAGTAGAAGGACCCACATCATGGAGTGATAAGTTTCAAATATGCAAAGAGTGCAGATATAGAAAGTCACAGTGACGTGGCTACCGGATGTCTCTCTCCTGTCATTTTTCTGTTCTTTCTTGCTCTGGGCCCAGCGTGGGAGATCAGCCAATATTTGTTCAATTGAAATTCTGTGAAGCAGTAACAATCTTTGCAGCTTTGCCCAGAATGTCCCATTCAAAGTGAGATATGACGGGCAATGGCATTCTCTCTATTATTAATCGCTGGACGCCCGGGATGAGGTCACATCGAGGCTTTAACTCACGGTCAAAGAAATGAGCTAGAGTTCTCATGGGTCACTACTTTCCTTTTAAATACTCCATTTTTTTCTTTTCTTTTTAGCCAGCCACGGCTTTACCTCCATTTTCTTTCATTTCTTTGCTTTTTTTCTGTTTTCTTTTTTTACTTTACCTCTATTTTCTTAAATGAATACCACACACCAGTGATTCAGGGCTGAGCCAGGCACCCACCAAGGTGTGAAATGTGGCTTATCATCCTTGTCTTACACCAGCCTTCGGGGTGGGGGGGCTGGGGAGGGGACCTCATTGTCCTCACATTCCCACAGGACAGGAGCTCAGAGGAGCAAGGTCAGAGGTGAGGGTGCAGACCCAGCCTGCACGCTTTTCAGCCCCTGCCCAGCACTCGCTCAGGGAGATCTGAAGGCCACTCCAGAACACTGGGACTGAGGTGGCCCCGAGACGGCCTCCCTCAGAGGGACCCAACTGGGAGGAGCCGCCTGCCTGTCTTCCCTCAGCCAGAACCAGGGGCCTTGGCTGAGCATGTGCTCACTGCTCACTGCTGGGCCGATCGCCCCCTCCAACAGTTCCTACAGCTGTCTCCATGACAACCGTGCTCAGGCCACCCCGCCTCAGGCGCAGCTCTACACTGGCCTCAATCTGTCCTGATGAGGTGCCCGGTGGGACAAGGCGGCAATCCCCACATCAACAAGGACGGGCTTGTCATGGACCTTCTGCAGAAAATACTGTCATTATTACTGATTGGTGCGGAGGCTTTGTTTCAGAGCCTATGCTCCCGGAGGGGTGGTTTCTATGTGCAGGAAGACCAATTTGGTACCTGCGGTCACCGGATCACCTTTGCCTGGTGACCAGCAAGCTTGCCGGCCCTTACCAGCAGGTGGCGCTGCTGAGCCCCTGAGCCTGGCGGGAGCTGGACCTGCACTAAACGTGGGTGAGGCCGCCCTGGAGACCGGCCTGGAGGTCTGCAAGGACCAACCAGCAGTAGATGCACAGTCCTGAGGAAAATGATGTAAAATTTAGCAACTAGTCATATCTGAGGATGAATTTATTTAATTAGGTGCTCGTCTTGCCACTTTATTTGGTGGCTTTCAAATCTAACATTATGTGTAGAGCAGGCTGCCTGATTTACTGCATTGGATGCGGTTTTATAAATAGGAAAAAATGAGCGAGGAAGCATTTTTCCACCTCACGGTGTGGCACGGAAGGGGTGGTGTCCAGGAGTCCCCCAGAGGGAGCAGACGGATGACGGGGGCTGCTCAGGCCGCCTGGCCGGCCGGCACACTTACCAATGGCCAGGGTCATGGCCTTGAGCTTGCTTCTGACCAGCTTCACCACCACGCTCTTCTGCAGGGGCGTCGACCGACAGCAAAGCACCGACCGGCACTGCTTGGCGAGGAAGAGAAATTTGTCCTCTAGGTTCTTCTCCAAGGCGTAGGCCAGGCTTCTCCCATCAATCACGAGGCTCGGGCAGGGGCCGGCGGCGGCGAGCTCCGAGGGTGGGCAGAGAGGGGAGAACCCCACGCTGACGTCGCCAGTGGTCTTCTCCGGGGCGCTACGGGGCCTCCTGGACCGCACGTAGTGTAGGCACTGGTCCAGCAGGGCCGCGCACGCCTCCTAAAATGGACACAAGGGGCCGGGGCCGCTCACTGGGCTGCACGGTCCCCATTACGTGTAGGTGTGACCGTGTCCGGGGCACCAGGCTGCAGGCTCTGCCCAGGCCTCCCTCCTAGAGCTGGCTTAGCTGAGGAGCATGCCTTTGCACAGAGGAGGGAAGGCGCTGGTCTCGCGTTTCTATGCATTTCCACTCGACTGCCCAGAGGCTGGAATGGAAAATCATCACCTTGGGAAGCCTGGCCATGTTCGAGCTAGGCTGCTGTCGGGTTAGGCTGAAGGGGCCCTACATGCTTTTCTCCAAGGTTCTCTGAGCCCTGTCCTCAGCCCTCTTGCTTCCTAGTAGGGACAGACAGTAGGGCACAGGGCTCTTTGAAGCCTTCGTTGTGATTCTCCCTAAAGAAATGTAATTCTCAGCGTTCCTCCTAAGCTCTCCAGATGACCAGGAAAATGCAGTTAAAAAAAAAAAAAAAAGGCATGACTACTGAGGCTTTTAACTGGCAATGCCCTTCCAAAACTGTATCTGAATTCCAGAGAGAGCAGGAAGACGGACGGGGAGTCCACAGGGCCAGGGGACAGCCGTGAAGCAGGGATGACTTTCCAGGAACAAATGTGCTCCAGGGAACTCGCGTGGCTCCTGGTCTCCACGGCCAGTCAGCCCACTGGCTCAGTGCCCAGTTTCCTGCGTGCACCATGGAAATCCAGTTGCATTTGATACACGCTGACTGAAGACCTTTTATATTTAGAAAAGTGAGTGACACTAGAGAAAAAGAGACCGAGGAGACAACTATTGGCCTTGGGGAGAAAGGCAGGCAGCCGGACACAGACACACACATACACAAACCAGCGAGTCAGACAGCATGATGTGCAGAAGTGTTACTGGAAATGGAGAGGGGAGGGCGGGGTCGCAATGGCAGCACCAGGAGCTCATGGGAGCGAGGCCTGGGCTCCTGGTTCCAGCACGAAGCACTGACAAGGGAGGACGGGCAGCCACACGCCGCCCGTCTCCTGCCCGGAATGCAGCCACGGCACCTGGCAGAAGTCATCAGGCAGCTACCTGAGGACTCTGACAGTAAGAGCAGCTGTCAGACTGGGGAAGAAGGGCGACATTCTACGCGCACTGAACGGGTGGTGAGCTTTCCATTTGCACTCTGGCAGCCCTGCTCTGGACCCAAGGCGTCACAGAGCCTGAGGAGGGTTTCAGAGGAGGTGGCTAAGACACCTCCAACGTAAGGAGGAAGGATAAAGGGACACAGGGAGTGGGAAGAGTTCTTCACTCCCCTTGACATGGAAAAATACTGATCCTAGGTAGACGGTGACAACTGAAGTGTGCATATCGTAATCTTTAGAAAAAACACTAAAAAAGCTAAGTAAAGTGATGTCAAAACACAACAAATTAAAATGGAATACTAAAAAATGTTCAATATTATTGACTATATTCCCTGTGTTGTATTGTACTTTACATCCTCATGACTATTTTGTAACCACCAATTTGTACCTCTTATTCCCTTCCCCCCTTCACCTCTCCACAACTTGCCCCATTTGCAAACACTGGGAAGAAAAATGATAAATAAATATGTTCAAATAATCCAAAAGAATTTAGGAAAGAAAATGGAGAAACCGAAAAGGGAGAATAATAAGAAAATAAGAAATAAAATGGTAGGCTTGCATTCAAACATATTGATAATTACACTAAATGTAAATGATCTAAGCATAGCAATTAAAAGACTGTCAATGTATAAACACATGACCTATCTACCCAAAACACCCCTCATTTCAAATGTAATGCTATAGGTAGATTAAAAACTAAAGCATGGGAAAAGACACACCATGCAAACACAGAAACAGCTGGAGTGGCTATGTTGAGCCAGAGAGTAAATATTTTAGGCTTTGCTGGTCATTTGGTCTCTGTCAAACTATTCAACACTGCCACTCAAGCATGAAAATAGCCAAAGGCTGTACATAAAATGGGCATGGCTGTGTTTAAATAAAACTTTATTTATAGAAATAGGGGATGGGTTGGATTTGGCCTTTGGACCATGATTTTCTGACCCCTATTAGGTAAGAATTGAACCACACCACCTACCAACTGGATATAATTGATCAACCAGCCAACAACATAGCACAAAACACAACACACTCTTTTCAGGTGAATATGAACATTCACCAAGACACACCATACCCTGGATCACCAGAAAAAATCACCACATTAAAGAAAATTAAAATCATAAGACATATATCTTATGACCATAATGGAATTAAAATAGAAATCAATAACAAAAGGACAACAGAAAAATCCCCAAACACTTGGAAATTAAACAAAACTATCAATTTTAAGACTATTACAAAAACAAAAACAAAAAACCCACAGGAGAGCATGGAAATGGTGAAGGGACAGACACATGGATCAATGGAACAGAAGATAATGTTTAGAAACAGACCCACAAATATGTGACCAATCAATTTTCAATGAAGGGTAAAGACAATTCAATGGAAAACAGATAAGACTTTTGACAAGTGGATCAAATGGACAATCAAAATGAAGTTTGACCTAAACCTCACAACTTACACAAAATTTTACACAAAATGGATTATGTCTAAAGGTGAGACACTAAACATGGAACTTGGAAGTGAAAAAGGAGATATCTTTGTGGCTAGGCGCACCTTGGATGCGATGCTCAAAGCATGATCCACGAAAGAAAAAGCTGATCACCTGGACCTTGTCATCCAGCTTGAGATGCTTCAAGTGGAAGCCAGTCAAGGAGTCAGAGCCCAGAGCAGGGCTTCATGTGAGATACCCCCGCACACTCAGGATTTAAACAGAGAAGTGGCTGGATGAAACCCTCTGTGCCCGCTGAGCATCCTGAGGCCGTCAGTGGGAACGGACTCATGCTGACCCCACATGGCCTCAGGAAGAAGTGTCCTGACACTATTGACAGTGTCAGGACAGTGTGTCAGGGAGAAACAGCTTGAACTCTGTATTCATAAAGCCCAGATGTGCACTCCTTTGAAACGAAGAAATCCCAGGAATCCCCAGTTTCCAAGGCAACGACAAGCACGTGCTAGAAACACAGGGCAGGTGCAATGGCTGGTCTGAGGCTGTCACCGGCGGAACAGGGTCTCCCCAGAATACACCCACCTGGGACTCGGCGTTCAGAGTGATGACTTCCTCGTCATGGTCCAGCAGTTTGCAGGCGTACGCAATGTTAATGGCCGTTTCTTGTTTGTCACCGGTGAGGACCCAAATCTGCAGGCCTGCCTGACGCAGCTTGGCGATGGTTTCAGGGACGCCTTCCTGCAGGCGGTCTTCAATCCCGGTGGCACCTGGTCAAATGATCAACAGTGAGGGTGAGCCCCGTCCTCACTGCCCGCAGACCTTGACAGGGCGGAAGCCACAGCCAGGGTGCCAGCGTGGCCTGGAGACTGTCGAAACAGACCACACAGTCCTGTGATTTCCGGAGAAAACCATCATCCTGAGTATACTAGCGCCACAAACATGATGACTAAGAGGCAAGTTTTCTGTGTGGGTCTCAGAACACTGGGAAAAACCAACCCTCCCGCGGAAACGTGCTCCCAGGCCCGCCTCCGCTTCCAACCCAGTGACATGGTCTCCAGCTTCCTTCTGGAAGCACAGCGGTGGCTGAGGGCAGCCTGCCTCTCTCTTATGCCATGTTCTTCCCTGTGCTGGGACACCACTGAATGTCTGTGTCCCCCTCAACCAAATTAACAGGCTGTAGCCACAGCCCCCAGTGTGCTGGTGTCAGGAGGTGGGACCTTGGGGAGGTGATGATGTCACAAGGGTGGCACCCTCAGGAACGGGCTCAGTGACCTTATAATGAGACCCCAGAGTGATGACCTCTCTCCATCATTGTGAGGACACAGAAGGCACCACCTGCAAACCAGGAAGAGGGCCCTTATCAGGAACCAGACTGGCTGGCACCCTGACCTTGGGCTTCCAGCTTCCAGAGCTGTGAGACATGACCATGTGTTGTGTAAGCCCCAGCCTGTGGGGCTCTGGGATAAGGCGCCTGAACTGGCTGAGACAGGCACCACGCCCCTTTCTCCTCCCGGGCCGACGAGATGGCAGGTGCAGGGAGCAGGAAGGGAAGGTACATACATGAACAAATCGTGCACACCTTCAGTGTAACGTTGGATGTACCGTCATAATGCCACCCGTGTGACCAGCCCTGAGCTCAGGAAACAGCATCACCAGCTCCCCAGAAGCCCCCTCGGAGGCAAGGGGCTGTCTTCCATCCCATGCTGCCTGTGTGCTGTGTTGGACGTGGGTCCACCTTCCACTTGAGGAATGTACCAGAAGGCTAAGTGGGGACTTGGAGAGAGCCAAGAAAGGAGGAGGCGACAGTGCACCCAGCTGCCCTCTGCTCTGAACCATGGCATGCATTGCCCACGGGAAGGACCAGGCAGGGTGTGGGGCCCAAGGTCCACTCAGGAACGAAATCACCTTTTTCTCCATGCTTCGTGAGCATGTCTCAGACCACCCAGGCACTGGGAGGCCACCTGGGCTTGGCCTGTCCCCTCTGCCAGCCCTCTGGCTCTAGCATGGGGAGCGCTTGCCCCAGTCACTGGTTCCCTATCTTCATGTCTGTCAGCACAAGGGTCACTTCTGCCATGATACATTCCCTGACATCTGGAAAGAGCAGGGGACTGTCATACCTGCCTCTGTATGTTCACAGTGTCACGTTCTTACTTAATGACAATGGCCATGAAACAAGCATGAAGATGTGAGCGCTATGATCCCCACCACACAGATGTGGAAAACGAGGGCGTGGAAGGTGAGGGAGCGATGGGGCCAGTGTCCCAGGCATGGCGGTGTCACGATCCAAAGCCTGGAGCTGTGATGACGCTGCCACCACGGGCCGGTGCTTTGTGTGTTACCCAACCAGCTGCCCGCCTTTCACCAGATGGAGACTTCTGACAGAGGGGACGTGTGTGTCCCATGTGTGTATTATGACCGCTTAGCCAGGGCTCCTTGGTGAAGGTTCACCAAGAGAAGAAAGCAGAGAAGCCCTCACAGGTCAGTTCCAGCCCACAGGGGTCTGCCTTCTTTCAGCAAAAGCCTAACACCTGGAAAATACAGGTTCTCTATTTCAGGAGCTAGATGGCCAAAGTAACAAGCCCCCCACTGAGTCACTCAAACAGCCCTACAGGATGGGCAGGTTTGGATGAAACACAGAATATTGTTAAATTAGAAATGGGGTTATGGACAGTGTGTCTGTCTCAGCAGGAAGTATGGCTGCAGATGAAAGGTAAGCCCAAGGAAACGGTCCTTTTAAAACGATCTGGAAGCATAGTATTTTCCTTCAGGTCTCCAAGGTTGCTTGTTTGTCATACCATTTATGTGACTTTGAGCCAATACCATCTTCCTGACAACCTGGCCCTGGGGAGGACCTGGCATTTAAGTATTATAACAGGGGTCGTTAGCGGGTCCAAGCCAGTCCCAGCATGCTGCACTGTGCCCACATGTCTGGCAGCTTTTAGTGTCACCTGAGGACTTTCAGATGACAGCTGGAGAAGCTGACAAAAATGCTGGGGACAGTGAGCAGAACACTGTCCTTTGAAGTTGCGTTCTTGGCCAGAATATTATGGAAAAGGAAATTTCAGTAACGCAGTGTGGTGACCTACCCTTTGTGGTTCTGAGATTATTTAATGTGAAAACTTAAATGAAAAGCTGCAGGAAGGGGTAGTTGGCTTTGCAATTAAAAATATAAACAGAAGTAAGCTTTAAACAGCTTGCTTCTCATTTGTCAAAAATGAATCTGAGGAGTTGGAACCCAGCACCTGTGGATACAATTGGGGTGGCCCCCCAGTGTCCAGTTCAGGTCTTATCAGTTGAACCGTAAACATCTCAGGTGGTCGGGATGGTGAGTAGTTAATGACTGGCTGTGGGAGGGAGGCTGACTCGCTGCCCTTGCCCATTTCTATGGTGTAAACACCCCCCAACCTTGGCTGATTTCAAGCTACCAACATAGCATCAAAAGGCTATTCAGAATTCCTGAACTTTTACCAGTAGGCTCTCACCACTGGATACGCAGGCCATGTACCACCGGTGCCCGCTGGGCAATCCAGGGGGCCCAGCTCAGAGCTGTTCTAACACGCCTCCAGGGAGAAGCATGTGACCTGATGACACAGAGCGTGCTGATGAGAATTCCGAGTGTAACAGCCAGGGCACTGTCCTGACCCGATGGAAAACACCAGCGCAGGGACAAGTGTAAAACCACGTTTGCACAGATGCCCAAGTAAAAATGACTGAATCCAAGCCCAGAAGCAATTCTTATGAAGATCTAGGAAGGTGGGTCACCTCAAGTTCAGTATGAACCTGGGGGAGATGACGGCTGTCCAAAACTTAGGATGTAACAGAGATAGAGCAGGTGAGGTGGGTCGAGGGAGGTGACAGATGCCCAGCCACCAGAAGAAGCTGGCCAGGTTTGTAAGGGACCCGAGACTCGCCACCATGATGCTGCTAAGTCCTGGACCCTCTGTGCCTGCATGTCACTCAGAGCCTCACTGCACCCCTCCTCTCACTCTCATCCCCCCGCCCCCAGCAGATGAGGAAACTGGGATGTAGAAAACACTGGGCCACTAGGCCAGGCTCACATGGCCTGTGGGTGGCAGAGCCAGGACTGGACTCTGAAAGGAGGAAAAGCAGGCATGCCTGAAAGTACAGGTGGAGACGGGGCAGCTCGGGCACTCACAGCCGTGTCCTCAGTTATGGTCTCATCCTGTGAGAAGGGGTTGAGATCATGTCCTAACTGCTCTGGATGGTGGGACCAGCTTCCCTAGAAGAAGGTACCAGGAGGCCAATTTCACTCCATTCAAGAAGTTCAGAAAGGCTGACGGGTGGGGTCTCTGGGGAGAACACCCCACAGTGGAGGGTCAGAGATGTGGGCAGGGGAACCAGCAAGACCCCTTTCTGTCCCACCAAGTAGCACATTCTACGTGAACAGACCTAGTTCAGTGACTCACAACCTGGCGATCTAGGAGACGCACAGCAGCTTTCCAGGTGTTCCATCTAATTCCCCCCAGGGACACTGCTCAGGAAGCCTTGGGCCTCTGGACCCTGGGCTGGAGCAGAGCATGGCCTGTGATGACACTGCAGGCAAAACAGTATTATAAACTGCATGTCTTACCGACCCACAGACACAGAGAGAAGCTGGTAGTGGCCAGAAGGGAGAGGGAGGGGGCGGAGTGTGTGTGATGCTATTACATATATTAGCTAATAGTAATCAGATATATTAGATATGCATATATAGCTATATAGATACCCCAACTCCTATGCCCAGAGAGCAAGGCCAAGTAAATTACAGACTTTCTATATTAAGTGAAAGAGGAACTTCCATCTCTTCGTGCCCCAGGAGTACCATGTGACCCCCATTGGAAGGAGTGTGTGTTTACAGAGCATGGTCACAGCTGGCCCCTGGCGAGGACACACAGCACATACACAAAGGGGTGTGTGTGTGTGTGTGTGTGTGGAGGGGTGGCAGATCTTTTCAAGCATCAATTATTGAGAAGCCTGGCTTCTCATCTCTATTTCTGGTGGGAAAGCAGAATTTAAGGGGAGGCAAGGTGGAGTGCCTGGCAGGAGACACGAGGAACCCCACAGACCCAGGCCATGGAGAGCCCATCCAATCAAGACTGCCCCACCTGGGGGCCGCGCTAGCCTCAGGCCGGCGATTCTCTCACCAAGCCCAGCTTGAGCAGAGCCACCACTAACTAAAGCCAGGTCACCTCCCCCTCCAGGGCCATATCTGCAAACTGAACCCTGGTCCACCCAACATGTGCTGGGAGCCTAGTTACCCAGCAGATGCAGATTCGTCTCCAGGCGAACTGCCGACTGAAAGAGGAGCTCCTCGCGGTTGTCCACGGAGGACTCTGCTTCTAAGTGGCGTTGCAGCCAGCAGGCGTACTCCTCCTGACTGAGAACCTGCATGGGACACACTGGTGAGGCGCGCAGGGTGCTGTTCGCGGTGCACAAGGTGTGCAGGCACTGAACGCTCGGGGCGAGTCCTGGCAGAACACCTCCCACTCACCCACGTGGTGACGTACATGTGTGCAGGCATTGAGGTCTTGGGGTGCGCCCTGGCAGAGCCCCACTCACCCTCTTGGCGATGCACAAGGTGCGCAGGCCTTCCACGGCGTACAGGTCCAGGTAGTGCTGTGTCTTGCTGCGGATTTGTTTTTGATGCCTTCCTCTGGCGTCATCTAGGTTGGAAGTAAAACCATGGATGAGTTAGAACTGCAGAGCCCAGTGGGATGCCCTGGAGCCAGTCCGGGAACCTTGGGGACCTCTGCGCGGTGTTCTCTTAAAAACAATTCTGCACCAGCTGTTTACGCAGCTGACCTCAGCGCTGCCCCAGTGGCTGTATCTGGGAAGTAATTCCCACCCAGCTTACAGGCTAGTCTCCCGTAGAAAACAGCACATTTTAAGGTCTCCAAAGTAGTCAGACTCAGAAACAAAGTAAAATGGTGGGGCCAGGGGCTGTGGGGAGGGGAGAAGGCGAGTTCAATGGGTACACGGTTCTGTTTAGCAAGATGAAAAGTCCGGACACCTGCTGCACAACGACAGGAATATACCTAACACTACTGAATAGTACACCTAAAAATGGTTAAGAGGGTGACTTTGACGGTATGCATTTAACCACATTAAAAAAACAACGAAGAAATTAACCGTTAGCTAGTATGGAACAATTCTCCAAACATCCATCTGTCTCTCCCATGGAAAAAGACGAGCAGACTTGCTGCTTATTAAGCAGCTGCAGAAACCTGGCCAGGAGCCTCACCTAGGTGGACTCCACCGCAAGGTGGCGCCACCACGTTCTTGAGTCTAGGATGATGCTGGGAAGGCAGAAGGCACTTCTGTGTGTGCATGATGAAAGCAAGTGATAAATGAGTGTGTTCCGGGCCAGTGAGGGAGAGATGTTCTCACGGCTTCACCCTAGGTGGCCACAACTGGAATTTTGTTGCAATTCATTAAGCAGGAATGTCACGAGCATCCTTTCACTGTGATATACTCACTCCAACAAACCTCCAGCAAGGGATGCCCAGAGACATCTGCACTACTGGGTTTACGCCAGGTCTGTCTCACCTCTTGTAAAGAGCACACACTTTTCATATAAATTCAAAGTAAAAGCTGTCATTAGAAAAAAGAATCTCATTAAAATGTGTATTTTGGGCTGTTTCTAATGTTCCTGGCTGAAATAAGAAGCTCAGACAAAAACCTCACTGAGTGACCTGGCATCCTTTGGTGCAGCCCGTTAAATAGACGTGCATCTTCTCCCCACTTATGAAAAATCATGCTTAATAGAAAGTGCAGTTCCCATCCCCAAAACATCTCTCACATCCATTTGTGTTGTCAGATATAAGATACCCAAACACTGCACAATACAGACGTTTACTAAAAATATTATTTGTTCTTTATCTGAAATTTATATTTAACTGGACCTTCACTATATTTTGTTCGCTAAATCTGGTAATCTGCTGACCAGTGGTGAGGCCTGTGGTCTGGGGAAGGCTGCCAACTCCCCACATCGGCCCATGACGGACTGGACCCGGGAAAACCCTTTTACCTCCCAGGCCCTGGGTATTCCACAGAGACAGCACCCAAAAGGGGCTGAAGATTGGTTCTTCAAGGCAACAAAATCTTTTTTTATGTATACAGAACAGATGTACACACAATACATGGACAGATATCTACACAGCATATCTGTGGCATGAAAATGTCATGGGGGGAACAATTAGAAAAAAACATCTAAAAGTACTCCTTAAGGGGGCAATAGATGAAAGAAAAAAAAAACCGCTGGGAAATACTGGCCTAGATTGCTTTAGGAATTTAAATTTCCTGGAAAGAGGACACCCGAAGTCATTTGAATTTTGACTCCCCTTCACTCCTGCCATTGTGTTAATATTCTTAGAAGGTGAAGATGCCCTGATTCCAGATTCTGATTGTTTTTTGAGGTTCTCTGAAATTAAAATAATAATAAAGTACTTGGGTTGCCCAGAGGAGGGAGGAGAAAGTCACCATAGGCGGAAGGAGCAGTGTGCACTGGGTATGGTGTTGCCATCAACCACAAACGTCTAAGCAAAACTAAGGGAGGGAGAGGAGGCTGGCTGGGCCACTCTGGGCCCCGGCTGCGCTGGACGCCAGTGTGGTCACACAGGCTGCCATGCTGGGGTGTCTCTGTGCCTGGCCATGGGATCGGCACCAGGGCCCAGGGACAGAGAGCACCCAGCCCTGAGGAGAGAGGAGCAGTGGCCCGGTCATGCCCCTCTGTCTTCTAGACTGGTGAGACTGCTCCTGGCTCAGGTGCCTTCTCCCTTCCAGACATCTCTGCACTGAGGGCTGGACGGTCACGGGAGGAAGCAGTGCAGGGTCTGCACTTGGTGAGGGCTGGAGGAGGATGAAAGGCACACGACCCCTCAGGAGCTAGGGGCCCAGGGAGGAGATGTCCTGGGCACTGTGCCCAGGCACGGCAGACGATGCTCAAGACCCCTGAGCAGGCCCCTCCTACTTGCTATGTTTAGGCGTGTTTTTAAGTTACTCAAAGTGAAATTCCCACTTCTTCTTTGCTTTAGAGACATTCATTTCTCCACAAGGAGTGTCATGTTAGTAAGAACGAAGAACATGTGTCCCGTCCTTCGGTCCTGCGGGCGCTAATTGACTTACTGAATAGCAGCAATGCGTGAGGCCCTCGCTAGGTGGCGCCCTACGCTCTATCCTTCCTTTGGAGGAGGGCAGAGCCGCCGGGTTTCAGCTGTACTGAACCACAGACAAGTGACTCTCAAGGGGACGGTAGCAGAGGGAAGGAAAAGGGACAGACCTCGCTTATACTTTATGCCCACACCACACCAGGCACTGCCAGGGTTTCCTGTGAGGTCAGCATCCTGACTTCTTTCCTACAGACGGGCAACGGAAGCACAGCGAGAGTGAGAGGTTTGTCCTGCTTCACCCCAGCCCGGGATGTAATCAGAGGTCTGTAGGAATGGGGTGGGAAGAGTCCCCGCTTTCTCCCTGACCCCACACACCTTCATGGACTGCGACACTCCCTCTAACCCAGTCAGGGGCGCCATTAGCTCAGCCTCCTCCTGTCATTTTTAGTAAAAGTGCTGTGAGCTCTTTGAAGAATGTTAGATTAAATCTGGAGGGTGACACTCGTGTGCTTTTCTCGCTTTATCACCTGCACACAGGTAGAGCAGCTTGGCCACAAGGCTCTGCCTCCCAAGCACAGGTAGACATCTGCGAGTCTGCTCTTCGCCCCCCACCCACCCCCCAAGAGAAAGTGGAACGATTTCTGCATAATGCCAGGTGTCACTGGTGTATGACTTCTAGGTGACCCCAGAGCCATTCTACAGCCCCTTTCCTGGGAGCCCATTAGGGTCTCCAAATGTCCTGAATATTATTACCTGGGTTCTATAGGTAGAGCTGCGCCATCCAATCCCATCAGAACTACACACTGTATGGAAATTTCCAGCAGAGGCCAGACAAGCTACACAAGCTGCTTACAAGGTCAGACAATTAAGTTCATGAACTCATCCTAGAAAAAGTGCTACACAACTCATTGCTGAATAACAATCACTATGATCACCTTCAAAGTACTCCCCTTGGGAAGCTATGCACTGACACCAGCACCTAGTCCACCCTTCAAAGCAATTTTAGAACTCTTTTTCTAGAATGGCCATCAGAACTGTCATCGTATTACCCTTGATGTCCTGAATGTCATCAAAATGTCTTCCTTTCAATATTTCCTTTATCTTCAGGCAAAGAAAGAAGCCATTGGGGCCAGATCAGATGAGTAAGGAGGGTGTTCCAATAGTTATTGGAACATACTGCTGTGTGAGCTGATGCGTTGTCATGATGCAAGAGCCATGAATTGTTGGCAAAAAGTTCAGGCCCTCTAACTTTTTCATGCAGCCTTTGCAGCACTTCCAAATAGTAAACTTGGTGAACTATTTGTCCAGTTGGTACCAATTCATAATGAAGAATCCCTCTGATATCAAAAAAGTTTAGCAACATTGTTGCAACAAGTTTGCAAACTTAATTGTCAGACCTCGTATTTTTAATTTTTCCCCTTCAGTGCCATGATTTGGGCAACCTGAGAGCTGATACAATGCCATTCTTTGGCTCCAGCTTGCACATGGGCTCTCTGCACCTCTGACCTTGAGGTCGACTCTGGGTGAGAAGAGTTTTGTTTGTGATGTGCCTAGAAAGCTGAGACTTTTTACTCATTTAAAAAGTGCATTGCCAGTGAAGGACAGTGTGGCAACTGTAGCGGCTTCTGTCCCTTACACAGCTCAGCAGGGCTGCCTCCTCCCACCTTGCCTACCACCCCGTCCTGCCCTTGCATGCTTGTGCATGACCCTTTGTAAGTGGTAAAGTCTGAACCACAGCAGTGCATTAACCTGTCTTCAGTGCAAAGCTGGGGTTTTTTTTTTGCAGTAAAATGAAGTCTCAGCTAATTTCCATATGTATCTGTTTCTCTTTTGTGAGGATGCGAAATCAAATTTCAGAATGACACGGGTCTTGGAATGCAAAGCCAGCCCATGGACTGCATTCTAGGTCCACCTAGGGCAGAGCCCCTGCAGGGGTGCAAAGGCTAGTATCACCCAGAGCAGGTCACCCCCACGAACGGTGGGTCAAACTATTTGCAGAGCCTCATTTGTAAATTTAGCTCAGCTGCTTCTGGGAGACTACAGCTCTGTGATGGGAAAACGGGTCTCTGTCTGCAGACCCCCAGGTGTGCTTTCCCACCAGGGTGGGCCTGGCCTTTGGGACTAGAAGTCCCTAAGGTGGGAGGGCAGAGAGGACCATGGGAAGCAACTGCATCCCAGAGCTTAGGAAGGGCGTCTCCAGCCCACACAGCTCCCAGGCAGCTCGTAGCACAGCGGCTTCTAGGATAAGGCAGGTGGCACAGGCGGGTCCCCTCCACCTGGGAGCAGCATCCTCACCTCCACCAGCTTGGCTCCCCCACAGGTCAGATGTACACGCCTTTGTCCTCCGAGTAGGAGGGGCGCACAGGTGACCAGGCTTACTAGTGGGTCCCAGGGCTTCCCCTCCCCGGTCCCCGAAGCTTGTATCTGCAAACTGGTGCAGCCCATCTGCTCAATAAAGTGCCACCCTCTACACCAGTGGTTTTCAAACTCCCCTTTTTCAACCTAAAAGTTAAAATGGACCAAGATGGAGTTGCTGTGTCCAAAGTCAGGACAGAGGGGGCAGGTGGGAAGCCAGTGGTCCCCACTCCCTGGACCCCAACTGGGCCTGGGGCAGCACCTTAAAGGGGCTAAAAAACGTGGCAAACACAGGAAGGAACCTTCTGGAACATCTGAAAATTCTTAACCTTCACTGTCCACACTTATACCCTGATGCTAGGCCTCATCCTGGTGGCGCCCAAGGCCACTGTGAGGAGGTGAGTCCAGGACTGTCCTCCGTCCCTGCCCACGCAGAAAACCGCTCAGAAGGAGGAGAGCAGGGCTGGTTTCTGGGGACTTCCGCCCGGAGCCGGGCGCCCATGGGGGGCGGGGTACCTGAGGCGCATGGCAGCAGGAGGTCCATGACCACCGAGTCGGCCCCCTTGGTGTAGACATTGATCTCGTCGGTGAGAGGATGTCGGATCACCACCGACATGCGCTTGCGGATGGAGTCGAAGCCCAGCGTGTGCAGGAGCTCGAAGGTGAGCCTACCCAGATGCGGCAGCTCTACGGCCACCTGGTCGTGCAGCCTGCTGGCCAGCGCGCAGTTGTAGGCGCGCGCCGCGTACACCAGCGCCGCCTCGTCGGGGCTCTCGGCCTCGTAGCGCAGCTCGGGCTTGGGGTCCCGGGCCCAGCCGGCCGCCCCGCTGCTGTAGCCGTTGCTGGCGATGGCCTGCGCCGGCTCGCCCAGCTTGCCCTCCAGGCTGAGCAGCGTACTGTTGGTGGACAGGGCGGATAGGGAGCTGGGCCCCGGCTTGTGCGGGACCTTGGTGGTGGCGAGGTTCCCAAGGCTGCTGCAGCCCGAGGTCAGGCGGCAGGGCGAGAACCTCTTCAGGAAGTCTTCTATGGTCTTCACGGGGGACTTCAGCTCGAACCTCACCCTCACCTGCAGGAGAAGCAGTCGGCAGACAGGTGAGGGGTGGCCCCCCCAGAGCCCCACCCCGTGGCCACACGGCCACAGCAAGGCGAGTCGCAGCCAGAGCTGGCGTCTCGTCCTTGAGACCATCCTTTGGCCTCTTCCACTTCACTTAACAAAGGTGATGCCACATGCATGCTTTTAGGATGTCACCAGAGCCACAGGTGGGGCACCGGTGACTCAGTAGAGTGTGAGGCTGGTGGTGCCTGCAGGCTTTGAGAATGTCCCCTCTGCTGGCTGTCCCCTAACTGCAGTGTCCCACTGCTTTGCAGAGAAGGGTCCCAAGAGCGGCTGGCTTGTCATCATTTTGCACAAAATCCAGCTTTTTCTTTTTTTCCAATTATAAAACCACTTAGCAAAAGACCAATTATACAGTCCTCTGAATTATGTCCATGCAATATTCAAATATACACATAACATTCCCGATCCCAAAAGAATCATTCTAAACAAATGACAGACACAGACAAATTCAGGATCCAAATCATTAACCACATTTTTAAAAAATCACAATAAATTATATATCTTGTAACACAAAATTAAAACAACAAAATGACAGTTATAGACAATTGTTAAAGTTTCAAAATGCTGCATGATGGAGCAACAGAAAAACACATTATGTAAATGAGCTGTTTCCTGATGTGGCTGTAATATACCTGTTTTAATTTTCTGCTAGATAACAGATTCAGTGCAGATGCTAAAACCATAAAAACGTTCAGCCATCGTTATCCTGAAATCTTTTTGCCCATGTGCCTAGAGTTGTGAATTCGAGTAACAGCCTCCAGGAAAGTCTGGTATTTGGTAAAGCATGGCACACAGACCCGTCTTGATAAAGGTGCTTTTTTTTTGTCCCTTTGGTGACTTTAAATGTCACCTATCCAGGCGGGCGATTCAGTCAGCCACGCGGGAGCTGCAGGTGCCCTTGAAGTTGCCGCTTACCAACATGGGGAGCAGGAAGGCGTCAAGAGACACGGTCACGTGCAGTCTGAGGGTGGCTGACTATTCCGTCCCTACCGGAAACTCACTGTCTGTGTGGCCACAAGCGCACATCTCAGTGTGTTGGGGTCGTTCTCACTTATTCAGTAACTGCGACAATGTCTGGGTCTGTCAGACAGGTGCCCCCAGAAAGCAGATGCTGTCCAAGGACTCAATCAGGGTGAAGGAAGTGCCCGGAGGCCAGCTGAGATACACTGAGGCAGGAAGCATCCCTGGCCGGGACGGGGACATGGACTTTCCATCTCCAAGTGGCGAGGCCTCTGCAGGCCGGTGAGGAGGGTGGTCACGGGGCCAGTGAGGCGGGGGGGGGGGGGTACTGTTGCCTCAGAGAAGGCCGAGACCCCTTGCTTACCCCATGTCACCCACCAGTGGCCCCTTCAGTGGGACCTGCTGGATGGGCTGACCCAGCAGGCGGAGAAGGGGCCTGGGAGGGGGGATCAGAGGGGCAGGTCAACGACACGCATCAGGCCAGAACACCTTCGTTTTTATCCATGTAAAGCTGGCTGGCTGCACTGTGGACATACAGGCTTAGGTGCTCCCGCCCCATGGCACTGGCCCACCTGGAGGACTTTCTGAGAAGCACCCAGGTCACAGAGGGTCCCTCTGCACACAAAACTTGACTGTCTTGGAGAGAGCCTTACTGTTAACCAAGACAAAAACCAAGGTGGGTGTTGCTATGCTTCCACCACCTTAAAATTCCACCCCAGTCTATTCTTGACCATCAAGGTCAAAGGGCTTTATTACCATCAGATACATTCACTGTGTGCCAGCCCATACTCAGCTCTTTCCTGAATCCTCACCTCCTACCCCCAAGATGAGGTGCCTGAGCGACGGGAACAGAAGCCTCTCCGCTAAGTGGTGAACTCAGGATTCAAGGCCAAAGTCGGGGTCCCCAGCCCATCCTGCCCTCTCTCCTGTGCAAATCTGGGCCCTGAGGCTCTGGGTAGCTCAGGTGGGGCATGTACTCTGTGGCCTCCGCCCCTCTACTCCGGGGCTCAGAGGGTGTCCTCTCCCACTTGCCCCATGCCTGACCCCCACCCACTGCAGCCCGTGTGGCCATCAGCACACACCTCCGTCTGGTGGGGTCATTCTGCACCCCCCTTACACCTGAGAGGCGAAAAGGGAAAAGCACCACCCTCAGGAAGACTGATAACAGGGGCCCCATTAAGATCAGGGGCGTCGTCTCGCAGGGACACCTCAGAACTTGCCTTTTGTCGTGGCTGGTCTGGGGATGTGACCACCACCGTGTTGCAGATGGTGAGCGCGATGAAGAAGTCAAAAATGTCAGCCAGCTCGGGCGAGAGGTGAGCCAGCGGGTGCTCCTGGCGCCTCGCCAAGGCCAGGCACCTGTCACACTCACTCACTTTCTCAAACAACTTTGGGTCAGGTGTGATGTCCTTCTCCTGGAAGAAAGCAGAGGCCAAGGGGTGAGTCTGACCCCATGACCCCTAAGTGCCTTGGCGGCTGACTTTAAGGCACCTTGATTTTCTTATAAGCTGTAAACAGACTTTCCTCTAACACATACATATATGCCATTTTGTAGTGATAAATTATGCATAATTTTAATTGTACAAGAATATCTAACATATGAAATGCATACAAGGTCTGACAATTAAGTTCGCGAACTTGTTGCAACAATGTTGCTAACCTTTTTTTATATCAGAGGGATTATTCATTATGAATTTGTACCAACTGGACAAACAGTTAACCAAGTTTACTATTTGGAAGTGCTGAAAAGGCTGCATGAAAAAGTTAGACAACCTGAACTTTTCACCAACAATTCATGGCTCTTGCATCACGACAATGCACCAGCTCACACGGCACTGTCTGTGAGGGAGTTCTTAGCCAGTCAACAAATAACTGTATTGGAACACCCTCCCTACTCACCTGATCTGGCCCCCAATGACTTCTTTCTTTACCCGAAGATAAAGGAAATATTGAAAGGAAGACATTTTGATGACATTCAGGACATCAAGGGTACTACGATGACAGCGCTGATGGCCATTCCAAAAAAAGAGTTCCAAAATTGCTTTGAAGGGTGGACTAGGTGCTGGCGTCAGTGCATAGCTTCCCAAGGGCAGTACTTCAAAGGTGACTATAGTGATATTCAGCAATGAGGTAGGTAGCGCTTTTTCTAGGATGAGTTCGTGAACTTAATTGTCTGACCTCGTACATTTATGTTTTACATGAAATATTTTACACATTCCCTTTGGGTAAATACCTATCACTGGAATTGCTGGATCTTATGGTAGCTCTATTTTTAACTTTGTAAGGAGCCTTCATACTGTTTTGCGCAGTGGCCAAACTAATATACAATCTCACCAACTGTGCTATGGCTTGTCGTTTTGATGACAGCCATTCTAACAGGTGTGGGGTGATACCTCATAGTGGTTTGATCTGCATTTCCTAACTTAAACTTACACAATGTTTTATGTCAATTACACCTGAATAAAAAAATTATATATAAATTGGCAGTTTCCATTTCCCCCGAACATTACTGTCTGCACTTTTCCAGGCCTTTAGAATTACAGTGGTCCCCCCTTTTCTGCAGGGGAATATACTCCAAGACCCCCAGTGGATACCTGAATCCTCTATATGCTATATTTTTTCCTAAGCACACCTTCTCACTTACAGGAAATACTTTCTGTGATGTATCCGAATTATCAGCATCACGACTCTTGTGCTTTGGGGCCGTTACTAAGTAAAATAAGAGTCACTTGAACACAAGCCATGCCAGAACCATGGGAATCAATCTGATGACCATGGGTGGGATCATATACAGCGTGGACATGCTGGACAAAGCAGTGATTCACGTCCTGGGCAGGACAGAGCAGGACGGTGTGAGGTTTCATCACGCTGCTCAGAACAGCTGGCAATTTGGAACGTATGGATTCTTTACTTCTGGAATTTTCCATTTAATATTTTCAGACTGCAGTTGACCTAAAGCAAAACTGTGGGTGGGGGTGGGGGGTGGGTCGGGCTACTGTATTTGAAAACACAGCTTTTAACAGTTTCAAAATAAACATCCCATCATTTACTTGACCATTCCTTTATCACTAGATACATGTTTTCACTGTTTTGCTGACATAAGGAACACACTGATAAACGTCTATGCATGGAAATCTTTGAATCACTAAATTCCTGGGTCAGAAAGTTTGAACGTTTCAAATACTGTTGACTCATATCGCTAATTGACGTCAGGGAAACCTGCCCCAATGCTTCGCTCCTGCCGCGTGTGCGAGCCCCCTCCCATGTGCCAGCACAAACCCACCACCAGTGGCCGTACTCCCTTTAAGTGGCAGCTCCTATGCGAGTTTCAAAGGACAGAAAAGAATGAGCCTCCCACAGAGTGAGCAGAATAGATGCTCCTCTCTGTTCCTAAAACATCGTAGAAGCAAAGGGGTCTTTTAGAAGCTGTCACTTGCTGGCTTCCAGAAACGTCTGGGCAGCCAACAAGACCAGGGAGAAGGAAGCTCTATTGGATCTGGGCTCATCTAATTAAGATTTTTTTTTCTCATTTAGCTTTGCTTTTTCATAGCTGTCACGTTCCTCTGATGTTTTATTCCCTTCGTTTGGCAGGACCGACTTCCCTCTGTCACCTGGGCGGGCGGTTCACCCAGTCTCCCAGCCTCAGAAGAGGAGGTCGAGGGACTGTGTCCCTGCGGGGTTGGGGGGAGGTGTTGGCCAGACAGCCTTGTGCACTGGGCAGAGCCAAGCCCAGCTCAGCTGTGTGTGGTGCTGAATGAAGTGCTTCTGCAGGGCGGGAAGGTGACAGGGGGAAGGGAGGTGGTGGCGCTGGCCGCAGGACTCACCATGGGGCTGCTGAAGGCCGTATGCTTGGACAACATGCTGGCCCGTCTGGCCTCGGCCCGGCTGCCCGACCGCCGGTGCGACATGGTGCCTGGGGCCCTGTGCAGGCTGCGGACGCTCTGGTGGCTCCCAGTGCTGCCACGCTGGGGCAGCGATCCCCCCCTGGGCACCGTGTCCTCCTCCTCCGAGTCTCCCTCCTGGTACCTGGCCAGCCGCCGCGCTGTGGGGAGAGGGGCATGGGTGACACGTCATGGGCACCGACTTCTCAGAGCACTTGCCACCTTCCCTCTCTAATGGCAAGGCCACCTCCCACGGGGTTTCCATTGAGGGACAGGGGATGCTGTCACTCATCCGCACCGTCAGTCAACCTGATGAGGTGGGTGTTCCCAGCCCCGCATCACAGATGAGAAAACCGAGTCTCAGAGAGCTTACGGAGCTTGCTACGGTCACAGAACGCAGGGGTTGGGGGTGGGGGTGGCACCCAGGCCCGTGGGATGCCAAAGCTTGAGTCCTGCCTGCTATGATGCAGTGGCTGCCTCACTGCATAAACAGGCCGGGTGAGGCAGAGATGGGCTTATGTGCAGGGGGCCTCGGCAGGAACAGGGTCTGGGGCAGGCGGCTGGAAAGGTCTCCCCAGAGCAGCTGGGCTCCAGGCTTTGCCCTCCATCCCGGGGTCACAGGGTGCATGGCTCAGTCACACAGAAACGACAGTTCTCAGTCTGCTGATGGTTGTGTCCCACCAGCAAAGGCCAGGCAGACAGGGATGCCATCTGCACTCACCCTGTGTGACAGGACGGCTCGTGGGCCTCTTGAGGTCACCCCGTGTGGATGGATGCCACCAGGGGTCGGGCCCAGAGAGCAGGGCTGCATGGGGGACCCTGGCTGTGACACCACACCTGGTCCCTTAGGGGGCCGGGGGCACAGGCCCTGCAGCCACGTGGCACTCAGTGAGCCCCGTGACTGGCTAAGGGATGGCTCTGACACATTGTCCTGGCTTTGCCCAGTAAGTGCCGCTTGTGCCATCACAGATGAGCCACAAAGGACACCACTCATGCAGGTAACCCATTCAGAACGAGCAATGGCTGTGCTGAGAGTGTCAAGGGCAGGCTGGGCCGGGGCACAGGGTCCCAGCACACGCCGTGTGTGAGGCGCAGCGAAGGGGGTCCGACGTGGGGACGCCCATGGCGCTGGCCTGGCCTGTGGAGCAGGCCTCAGACCCATCACCTTTCTTTGGAAAGACTCTTTAGAGATGACAACGACAGGGATAAGGGTCACAAGGTCAAGGAGCTGCCAACGCCAGGATTCCCACTCGGGGCTCCTAATGCAGGAGACCCCCCTGCCCCTCACATCCCACCCGCCTCTGGCTGAAGTAAATCCCAGCTGGGTGCCAAGTGACAGCAAGGAAGGACAAAGCCTGGACATGGGACTGTCAGCTTCTAGGCTGTGTGTTAGGAGCTGGCATCAGCCTTCCGAAGGGCCACTGCGGTGTTGGCGGTCTGCGGCCGTGCAGCAGGGTCTGCCCAGCAGTGGCCTCAGTGATAACCAAATGTCCCTGGGGAGGAAGCAGCAGGTGGTGCCTGGCTCTGGGCACACACTGTCACCAGGACACAAGGTCATGGATGGCTCAGCGTGGTCTTGTGGTCAGTTCAGGTCTGTGAGCTGGGCTCTGAGCTCAAAGTTGAAGCCATCTGTGTGAGGGGTTCACTTTTCTAATGAGATCGCGGGGCGACCTGGAGATGCTTGGGTCCCGGGTGAGCATGGATGACCGATCACAGCACCTCTTATTTTGGTTTTCACCAGAAATACTTTCCCGTGTCTCCCAGAGGTGATGGGACTCTCGGGTATTATGGTGAGCACCTGACTACCGCCCACGCTGTGACCTTCACCAGGGTTCTGCCCATGGGGCTCACGGTCCAGCCCTCAGAGGCAGCTGCTGATGTGGCTGGTGGGGTCTCTGGGTCTTTTACAACTGAGGTGTCCTTGGAGGCAATGGGGTCTACTGTGCAGGGCTGAGCAGTCACAGGAGAGAGTGAAGGGAGGGGACAGCGGTGGGCAAGGTACCGTAACTGGCCATTCATTTGAGGTAGCAAATAAAACATTCAACATCCCTGTGCTTTCTTTTTAATACGATGGCTTTAACTTTACATGGAGGACATTAGTGGACATCACGATAATTCTTGGTTTTATAAAACTCACTAAAGTCTCATGTTTCCAACAGATATTTCCCACCAACCCCCCTAAAGAATGGCTTCCCATGGAAGCCATTTTCTATTTGCTCCTGTTTCCGAGGCAAGGTCTCTGACATCATCGGAGGCTGTTACAGGATGGGGAGTCCTGGCTGCAAGTAAGTGCCCACTCTTGGAGGCACGATGACCCCAGAAACACGACTGTGGCAGGGGGACCCCCATGGTACCCTCTCCTGGCTCAGGCCAGCACATGGTGAGGTCACACCCTCAGCTCAGGGAGCAGCCAGCTCCTTGTGCATTCAGACAGGAGAGGCAGCAACGGACAAGGAAAGGAGAGATAGGAGGGGAGTCTGCCTGCAAATCCAAAGTGAGGTGATTCCTTCTGGGTGCCTCGGACACCATACTCCAGGGGAAGGGAGCAGCTTGGGTCTGCAGCTAACAGGGCAACCAATGGGTGACCCCAGAAACATCCCTTTGCCTGTTGGTGTGGCAAAGAGGCCCCACAGGTGGGTCCCTCACAGACGCTCTCCTTGTTCCTCTTGTCTGGCGGGAAACGAGTGTTTAAGCTGTGAGCAGGCGGTGACGCACAGGTGCTGCATAGGCATCCTTTCCATAAACGGTGCCAGGCTCCTGAGCTGCTCAGACAGCCGTCCTATGCCTTACCTCCCTCGGAAATCAGCAGTCCCTGAAGGGCGTGCATGCGCGCGCGCGTGTGTGTGTGTGTGTGTGTGTGTGTGTGTGTGTGTGTGTGCGCGCGCGCGTGCATACACGCTTTGTGAGCGTGCGTGTGCAGGCTTGCATGCAGCTCTGGCTGGAGCAGCCTTCTGGCCCGGCCCAGACCAGGTGCCGCGCAGCAGACTCACCATTGGCATCGTGCGCGTACTCGATGCCGGACACAGTGCATCTCCGGAAAACCATCTTGTTCTCTGTGAGCGTGCCTGTTTTGTCTGAGAAGACATACTGGATCTGCCCCAGGTCTTCTGTGATATTCAGAGCACGGCATTGCAGCCGGGAGCCCGTTTCCTCGTCGTATAGCTCCGCGTCCTGGTTGATGAAGTACACTTGGCACACTTTGACGATTTCGATGGAGACATACAAGGAAATGGGGATCAGAACCTGGAAAACAGTGGGTGCAGCGTGAGAGAGCCTGCAGCCTGGGAGCTGCACAGTCAGCCCCATCTACTGAAATGACAAATGAGCACAACCACGAGGAAGCACTGTACCTTCACGAGCTTAAAGAGCGTGGCTTAGAATCAGTATTAGAAAAGTGTTAGCATATTGGCAAAGAGTGTGACCTAAGACAGCCTACACGGGGCACGGCACAGCGGCGGTCCACCATGGTGTCTGGAGGTATGGTAACCACGGCCTGGAGAGAGCAGGCATTCTCACATCACTAAGTCATGCTTGAGAAGAAGCTGGGAGAGGAAAGAGAGAAAAGAGAAAAACACAATAGAAGCACTGTCAGAGTCCTCCTAAGACAGTCACCTTGACCCCCAGCTGTCCACGGGCTCCAGGCCACTGGGGCTGCCCGACCCTGGGACAGGACCCTACAGTTCAGAAGGGACAGTCTTTTCAGAGGCTGGTTTTGTGTTGGAGGACAATGTCTGTGATGTACAGTACAGAGCAAACAGAAGAAATCTCTGAGAAAATTATTCACGGTTATGCTTTGACAACTGCAGAAAAACTGCCATGAAATCAACATTTGATTTTTTCTTTTTTTGTGGCATAACCCTGTATGGGTTCAGACCCATACAGACTATACCATTCAGACTGTATCATTCAGACTAACTGGTTCTCCTGGTAAGTTAAGGATGTTAGTGTGACACATACTAAAGGCTAGAACAAAATTTACAGCTATAAAAAACAAGTGAAATAAGTCAGACAGAGATAGACAGATATTGTGTCACCTCACTTATATGTGGAACCTAAAATAAAACAAACTCATAGAAACAGAGAACCCAGTGGTGGCTGCCAGAGGTGGGGGTATGGGGGCAAAATGGCAAAGGGGGTCAAAAGACACACACTTCCGGTTACGAGATAAATTAGTACTGAGGACATAACGTACAGCCTGGTGACTGTGATGTACATTTGAAAGTTGCTAAGACAGTAGATCTTAAAAGTTCCTATCACAAGAAAAAAAATGTGTAACCTATATGTGATGATCATTTCATAATAAATACATACATCAAATCATCGTGTTAAATTCCCGAAATGAATGCAATCTTATATGTCAATTATATCTCGATAAAATTGGAAAAAATGTTACAGGGAATGAGAGTAATTTATGAAATAATGAGTTCCTTGAATAATTCAAAACCTTATATGAGTCACCATAATGGTTTCCATCTCTTTTTCCATCAAGGCTTTCATGAGAACAACTAGGAAATAAATTACCACGTTGAGTTTCAAAAAAACCCTTGCTAATTTAGAAAGTTAAGTTAGGCTGTTGCCCATTGTATGAACACGTGTGAAAAAGGACACACAGCCCCCCTTCTCGGCAATGGCTAAGCAAGTGTCCTCTGGTCACTGTGTTCCCAAGGAGGCCGGCAGTGACACTTGCTGTCCCTTCTCTACTCTTTACCTGGCCACTTGGGCTCAGGTTCTCAGTGACTGGGAATCATTGAGCAGGCATGTGAATTAATAATAATAATAATAATAATAATAATAATAATAATAATAAAAAGCAATGCCTCTGGACACAGTGTGATAGCTTGAACTGAATCCTGGAACAGAAAAAGCACATTATTAGGAAACCTGGCAGAATCTGACTAAGGTCTGGAGTTTAGTTCATGGCAGAGTGTACAACGGTGACACGTTCACACTCGAGAAAGTGGGTGAGGGACACGTGGGGACTCTCTCTACTCTTTTTTGCAACGTGTCTGTAAATCTTAAAATATTTCCAAAATAAAATGTAGGGTTTTTTATTAGAAGTAACTGAATGAAAAAACACAACACTAAAAATAATCAAAACCAACCCCTTGAGGCCTAAGCATCTGAAGAACAGCGAAGGAGGATCTGAACTTGACAGTCACCCAGGAAAAGCCCCTCTCAGTAAATCAGGTGGAAGAACAAAGAGCAGCGTGTGAGGAAGGCCCATCTGTGGTCGTGCTGGTGTGAACGCCCAGAATTCCCAGCAGACGCTAAGTGGGGTGTGGTGGCGATATGCCCCGTCAGAACAGAGGTAAGCGTGGCGGGCTGGGGACCGTTACCTGCAGGACTATTATCATTGTCAAAAACGAGTACACTGCAGCTGTGACTGGGGATAAAGAGCTGCCGTCAGGTTCGGGGACGTCAAACAAGGATTTCTTCTCTCGGTAGCGCTGTACCCACAGTCCGTGCCCTGTAGCAACGTTCAAAGGGAAACGTCATCCATCCGGCGGAAATGTCGGAACACGGCTAGTGCAAACTAAAGCGAAGCTTTGGGACAATCGCCCAACATGGGCACAGTGGGCCTCGCGAGCCTGCCTTGTCCAGTGAGAGAGCAACACAAA